AAACTTGCAGACAGTAATCTTTAGTATCCTAAGTTCATTACTATCAAATATTTGTGAAGAACATGAGATTTAGTGAAATAAGCATTTTAATATAGAGTGCACTCACAATGAATGTTCAAATTTTATCTTTACTCTTTTATTTAAATTTTTTATATTATATATAATCACAAGCTTTTGTTATGTAAAATGTTATAAAGATAGTTTAATCACACGATTACAAAATGCTCATTTACTAATATTAGAAAAAACATTAATCACATAATCCCTAAATGGTAAGGTTCAATTGAAACAGACATGCCGCATCTGAAAAAAAGAAAAAAGAAAAAAAAGACATGCAACATCTGAATTGTTTTAAATAATTATGATTTCAAAATGCATAAAATTATTATTTTGAATAAGACAATGATGACAAGCATCTTACAAATCATTGAAATCCTTTACAACAATAAATTATATAAAATATTGATGGTCATAATAAAGTTGCTATTTAGAATAACATTATTATCATTAATGTAGATCTTAAAACATAGATCAGAAATTGAACGATTTGCAATGTAATGAAATATGCCTTATTATGCATGATGTCTATACGATACAGTTGGGAAGTTGAAGTACTCTCCTTTTATGATTAATATCAGACTAAAGGAAAAAAAAGGCTTGAATATGAGACAAAACAAGTAAATATGAGAGGAAGTGTATAACACCGCTGCTCGATCCAATGCCACTACTTTCATTTCTCATCATCTGATTTTTGGTTTTCTCTCTCTCTCTAGGCTCATCTTTGTATTTACCTTTCTTCACAATGTTTTTGCTCCTGCTTCGAGAGCAAAGCAGGCGGTAAATAAGCAGGGGAAGAAATTGGGAAGGGCTGGAAGCAATGTCAACCGAGAAGAGAGAGAAGCACAAACATTAGATAGATGTAAATATCATTAGAGGAACACCTAAACCAAAAGTGCTTAATTTATGCAGTTGGCTGTATGCGTTTGTGTATATAAGATACAAATTTGTAGGATCTAGATTTAAATCTTTAACTCAAAGGTGAAGATTTCATTTAAGGATTTATAATAGAATTATATATTAGGAGAATAAATTAGAATGTTTAAGATTTAAAATAATAAGAGTTAAACAATTGATTAAAATTTCATATTGGAATAATTACAAGTCACTTTTATAATTGCAGCAATCGCGCAGTATCAGCAGCATACTGTAGTAGTATGTTTACAGAGAGAGAGAGAGAGAGAGAGAGAGAGAGAGGAATCAATTAAGAGTTGATTTTATGCGATTGGTAAAGCCAAAAACAAATGGAACCCAAAACAAGAGCTTGGTATGCCATGAGATAAATTAGTTTAAATTTTTGAATTTTCGAATTTCAATCATGAAAACAAGAGCATAAGGAAATGAGGTGTTGCACCAATTAAAAGTTATACCAGGAACGCTACAAAATTAACAATAAAATGCAAGTTTTAAATTAAAACAAAAATTTGCAAAAAGAAAAATATCAAAATCGATCATAATGATGCACTTCTAAACTTCGAACATATAACTTCCTGAGTTATAATCATGAAACATCCTAGATTGATTTTTTTTTTTTTAAAAAAGGGAAAAACTAAGAGTCATTTTTAGTGTATAAAAAAAGAATGTATACTCTTAATGGAAGGGACACTAATGCAGAAAAAAAAATCCAAATTTTATTTTGTCATAAATATTAGTTTTATTTTAACTCTTACGAACCTCATGCTCATTGCAGAATTTTTAATACAAATATTTTAGTTCATGTAATTAGTTTATTAATAGTTTTTAGCAATTTTTTAGAAAATTATTATTTCTTTTGCATCTCTAATTATATTCTAAAGTATGTAAGGCAATTTATGATAAAATTCTTATATTCGATCTGAAGCTACTTATTTTATTTTATTATGTGATTTTAATTCCTAATCAAATGTCAGACCTGATACTCTTTAGAAAGAGATGATTCAGTTCAATCGTGAGTACTGCTTATTAATTTCTTAATATTTTCATTTTTTCCATTTTTTTTCATATTTTTCATATTTTTCTTTCAAAGATTTATTGCATCAAATTAGCATCAAATCTATGATTTGGGATCATTTCATCACTTTAAAATCATGTTTCATTAACTATTTCCTTTTTCTGTTTTACCCAAAACTACATCACTTTTTCCCTAACCATTGATTTCCCTAATTCTGAACAGAAAAGTGAAATATTATATGAGAAATTTGAAATTATTGTTTACTTTAAAAACTATCCATCATAAACGTAAAGTGTCAGCAATAAGCCTTTATTTGCCCTCATCCCATCCTCTCTCTCTTCCAACAACCCTCAACTAAACCCCACCTACTCTCCACATAATAAACCCCATTCAAACTATTAACAGGCCTTCATCTAATCTCCTAATAAGCTGGTAACAATCCTTCAAATATTAAAAATATACAACTCCTATTCTACCGAACAATATGCAACCTGCAAAAAATTGAATCAAACCAAGCCAGACCAAACACAAACCCAATCAAACTCAAATTTAAGTCAAATTGTCAACATTTTCTATTGTGTGACAATTCAATGAAAAAACTGCTATTCTTTGGACAATAAATTACCATTCATAGAAATAATAGTGTACAACCTTTTATCCATTATGTATGCAACTTAAAACATGAAAGATAGCCTAGGCCTTCTCATCTTGAGGTGGAAATAAAAAAAGAAAAAAGAGAAAGCAATGATCTCAATGGATTTAAATACATTCTTAGGAACATCAACACAAGCAAGGCATAGATTCTTACACTCCTACTTTAATATGAACCCGGTTCACAAATATTCTTTAAAGAATACATCAATCTCTAGTTCAATGAAAGTATCATCCACATTCAATGGCCATAGTTGATAGAGAATTATGTTTACCGTGGGTCACTCCCTAAAGTATAGTGCTTAAGGGTGAGAAATAATGCCACATTCATATATTCTAAATTGTATTTTTTCCATAAATATTTGAGTTATTTTGTCATCAAAAGATCACGGTCATTTTGATATTTTATTAGGAACATCATACATAGTCCGCATCATTAGTTTATAATTAATAATTTGCTATTCCTTTTTATCTTTGCATGAATGCATTTCTAAAGTATGTAAGACAGGCGATTACATGAAAAAAAATTCTTATTGTATATGTGGAATTCTTCTTATTCATTTATTCTATGATTTCGATCCGGTGATAGGAGTATGGGGTTAACTTATGACCCCATATAATAATTCAACAAAAACCCGCACCGAATTGAATCCAACTTTTCTATAACAAAAATTAAATAACCCCAATACTCCAATAGCTTCACCTTGGATAAGTTGTAGGACCTCAACATTTGCATCCTCTTCATCTCCTCTCCTTTGGGCTCATCTCCTCTCCTCATTTGTCAATTGTTGATCTACGTCACTTGCTTCCTCTCCACTCTTGTTGGTTGTTGATTCTCCACTAAGCTCATCTCTTTTGCTCTTAGCGATCATCAATTCTCAAATGTTTCTCTTCCACTCTTCATTCATTACAAGGAGGTTATAGCGACCACTATGACCCCATGCCAATAAAAAAAATGTCTAAATAAGCTGAATAAATGAAGGTGGAAACATTTAATAAAAAGGTGCATAAGTATATATTGTAGCATTCCTAAGACTAAGGAAAAATATCCATCATTCATAAAATTATCTTCTCTAACTTGGCTTCACTAAGCATCACAATCAAATCAACAATATCCTATGCCATGGTGGTGTTTTGAGCGTTGTCCACTTTCACCACCCAAAGTTACTTCAGCTTTGTTCATGTTGGGTCAAGTTGACCCGAAACATAACACAATATATATAAGCAATGGGGTAAATGGCACATTACTCGGATTTGCCAAAAGTATGAGGTGTCAATTAAAATATATATATATAAAATCAAAGCCTATAGGTACCACTAAATTTCATAAATCCTAATTATTTCAAAAGGACAGTGTCCTTTGAGCTTTAGAACTCCTATCATTCACCACTTCTTCACCTATGGATTCCTTTATAGTAAGTAATCAGACAAAACAACCATTAAGATTTATCAATTGTAAAACAATTGAACTATCGTTAAAACCTCATTTTACACACAAAAGTGAGAAGGAAAAAGATTCATAGTGCCCATCACAAATAATCAAGCCACATATGATGATCACGAGTTGTAAAATGCATTCAAGTCAAAAGGAGCAAGAAGAAGATAAGGGTATAAGTTGGAGGTTTTCTTCACTTCCAAGCCTCCAAAGTTGGTGTATGCAACCTTATCCCTACCTTGCAAAGTTGTTGTTTTCATGATTCTACATCATGACTTCAAGCCACAATGATCAAATTGTTGGTTCTAGGCTCATCTTTTAAAGGGAAACCATCATCGTTTTCCTTATCCCAATTATGTGGGGGTATTCCTTTAAAAGTTGATAAACAAATAAACAAAAAATAAATAAACCTACGGTTACAAGTAATGATCCATCCATGTATGATAGGCACCATGTACTAAAAATAAAAATGCATAATTAAAACATACAACAAGGATCACTAAAGATAGCTGCAAACCACGGACATACGCAATCATGTCAAGTAATAAAAATCAGATACTTTCAATGAAACCAATTGATTTCAATTTTTCAATAATGACTTGACAAAGCACCTTTCACAACCATTTAAAAAAAAATACTGAACAAAACAAAGAGAATTGCAGGGTATTATACTATCTTAGCAATTCTGTGAGACCAACCTTGAATTGCATCTACGAACTTTCAAATTTTGTTTAGGGTCAGGTACATCAGCACATGATTGTTAGGTAATTGCCAAAAACCAAAAAAAATCCCAAAGAAGTAGCCTTGAAATTACACTCTATAAAAGCACCCAAAAAAGCTAATCTCTAGTGAAATTTGTAATTAACAATTCCAAAAAAATATTAATAAATCATAAAGAAAATCTAAAAGCATTTAGCAATAAAAGACCTTGAGTTCATTCTTATGCTCTTGAAGGATCTTAGCAGCTCCCAAAAGCATCGCAACATGAGCATCATGGCCACATGCGTGCATCTTTCCAGGAACTTTACTCTTGTGCTCCCATTCCACACTCTCCTATACAGCATAAAAAATTCTATCTTAGAACAAACGAACAGAAATCATCGACACTAAAGTTTCCACAAAGGCATCATGAACATGATTACGTAATGAACACATCCAAGACAAAGTGCCAAATACACCAATTCAGGGCAAGATTAAAACGCTGCGTAGCGAGATCAGACCAAAAGTGAGATATAAGCTCTCTAACCTTTATTAAAAGTAAAAACTGTTCCATGTTTTCAAATAAAAAGAACATCGGATAATCCACGCTTCCGAACATCCAGAATAAAACCCTAACCTGCATCGCGAGGGCATCCATGTCGGCTCGCAACGCTACGAACGGCGGCTTTCCCGTGCCGACGAAACCGACCACGCCGGTGACGGCGACTGGGTGCTTGTAAGAAATTCCCATCCGATCCAGCTCGCTTCGAACGAGCTCACTGGTCTCGAATTCCTCGTACCCGAGTTCCGGCTTCTCGTGTATCCTCCTCCTAATCCCAACCATCCACTCAAAAAATTCCGACTCCCTAGCTCGCTCGAGGAATTCCTCCGAACCATCGCCGCCTCCGGCCACCACGGCTGCCAGCGGTCCCGAGAGAAGCTGGAGGGACACAAAGAGAAGAAGCCATTGAGAAGATGAATCCATTGCGAGCTGAAGGCGGCTGTGGCCTGTGAGGAGTGGTTTAAATAATTAGCGTTTAGTTTAAATAAAGTTTGTTTGCTAGTTTATTAGAATATTATATTTGTATATTCAAACATGTGCGCATATCTATACTATTATATATTATATAATAATAAGTGTAGCTGGGGATTTCTGAAATCCTAACCATTCATTTATAAACTTATAAATTAAATCTAAATCGTTTATTCAGGACTCTTCATATTCTTTATTTTTTTATTCCTCCAAAACATTTCATCAATCATTTATAACATTAACGTCATTATAGCTACAGTTTTTCCAAAATATTTTCACTGCCAAACTTATATATATATATATA